GGAGGAGGAGGAGGAGGAGGAGGAGGGGGAAGATGAGGAGGAGGAGGAGGACTGAGAGGAACGAGCACGATGAGGAGGAACAGGAGGAGGAAGGAGAGGTTCGCCTCACCTCCTTTTTTCCTCCTCCTCCTCGTCCTTCGTCGCCCGTCTCCTGCTCGTGGTGCTGCTGCTGTGCCTCCTCTTCCTCTTACCGGAGGCTGACATTTGCTAGCCTATGCTCAGGCTGTGCATAGCCTATGATAGGCCCCCTGCGTGCTTGTGCACAGGCTGTGTATAGATCTGTCACAGTCCTCTGCCTAGGATGTGCACAGGCCTGTCGTAGGCCTGTGCATAGGGTGTATACAGGCATGTGGAAGCCTCCGTCGTTGGGCCTCTGCACAGACAGACTGAGCACAGGGCTACCGTAGGCCTGTGCAGTGCACAGTGTGTCCACAGGCCTTTGACAGGCCTAGGCATAACCTACCCATAGGCATGTCGATAGGGCTATCGACAGGCCTATGCACAGCCTGACCATAGGCCTATCGATAGTCCTATCGATACGCTGCCTCGGGGCCTGTGTGCTCGCGAAAAATAGGCCTGCACAGAGCCTGTGCGTAGGCCTGTGCTTAGGCCTGTGCGCACCCTGTGCATAGGCCGGTGACAGGCCTGTGAACAGGCTGTGCATAAGGATGTGATGCGCCTGGAGAAGGGCCGACACTCCAGGACAGGCTTGTACATATCTGTTGCACAGGTTTGCCGCAGGTTTGTGCACAGGCTGTGCACAGTCCTGTAGTGGGCATGTGCGAGGGCCTGCACCCCGCGGCAGGCCTGTGCACAGCCTGTGCACGCGCCTACCACAGGTCTGTGGACAGCCTGTGCACAGGCCTGTGGTGGGCCTGGAGAGGGCCATTGCCTCGCGACAGGCCTGTGCACAGCCTGTGCAAAGGCCTACCACAGGCCTGTGGACATGCCTATGGTGGGCCTGTGCGACGGCCGACACCTCGCGACAAGCCTGTGCATAGTCTATGCACAGGCATGTTCCAGGCCTGTGGACAGGCTGTACGCAGGCTGTGGTGGGCCTGTGCGAGGGCCGACACTCCGCAACAGGCCTGTGCAGAACTTGCGCACAGGCCTGCCGCAGGCCTGTGCAGAGGCTGTGCACAGGCCTGGGTGTGGGCCGACACCCCGCGACACATCTGTGCCTAGCTTGTGCACCGGCCTGTCACAGGCCTGTGAAAAGCCTTTCCACAGGCCTGTGGCGAGCTTGGGAGCGGGCCAACGCCCCGCGACAGGCCTGTGCGTAGCCTGTGCACAGGCCTGTCACAGTCCTGTGGACAGGCTTGTGGTGGGCCTGTAGTGAGGCAGCACCCCGCGACAGGCCTGTGCATAGCCTGTGCAAAGGCTCGTCGCAGGCCTGTGGGAAGCCTGTGCACAGGCCTGTCGCAGGCCCGGGGGAGAGCCAGCGCTCCGCGTCAAGCCTGTGCAGAGCCTGTGCGCAGGCTTGTCGCAGGCCTGTCGACAGGCTTGTGGTGGGCCTGTTGTGGGCCCGTGGGACTGCCGATGCTCCGCGACGAGCTTGTGCACATGCTTTGCACAAGCCTGCCACAGGTGTGTGGACAAGCTGCGCACAATTTCTAGAGGGGCACCCTGAACAATCCGCCCCGTTTTAGGGTGACCCATCCAGCCCTCTCTTGGATGCTTGTCATCCCTCCCTCCTTTCCTCCAATTCTGGGTTCCCATTTGAATATCTAGGAGGTTATGTGATGCCATATCGGATTGGTCCTGGGGCTGCCTGGAAGATCTGGTCCAGGCTGTCCCAGAGCTCACAGCCTGCAGGTCAGTGCGCAGCCTGTGTTCAGGTCTACCACAGGCCTATGCGCAGGCTATACATAGGCCTGTGCGGGCCTTAGGTTCGGGCCTGTGCGTAGGCTATACATGTGGGAACGTCGCACCCTCTACAGGCCTGTGCGTAGCTGTACACAGGCCTACCGCAGGCATACCATAGGTCTATTGCAGGCCTGTGCATAGGCCTGTCGTGGGCCTGCGCACACCCTAACGATAGGACTACCACAGGCCGATACACAGGCTTCGCACAGGCCTATCACAGGCTTGTGCACAGCCTGCCCATGGGCCATTGAAAGGCCTGTGCATAGGCTGTGCATAGGTCTGTCGCCGTGTGTTCGGGCATACTCTCACGCTGCGCTTAGGCAGAGTGGAGACCTGTGCACACCTTGTGCATAGGCCTATGTATAGGCCTATGTTGGGTTGTGCACAGCTCGTCGCCATGCCTGTCACAGGCCTGTGCACAGCCTGCCGAGAGGCCTACGGCAGGGCTATGCATAGCCTATCGACAGGCCTATCGTAGGCCTTTCGATAGGCCTTCTCAGGGCCTGTGCGCCTTGTCCGTCATAGGCCTATGCACAGGCTATGCACAGGCCTATGATAGGCCTGCGAGCAGGCGCTACGCGTGATGGATTGTCATCCACAATCTCAGAATCAGTTCTGGGGTATCGCAAACAACTTTTGGGTTTGTTTTTGTCCTCGTCAGGGGCCTTGTGGTTGTCAGAATTCGGAAAGCATCAACTTGCGACCTGGCCTGGCCGCCGCGCTGGCCGACGCCGCTGGGCACTGCGCACGTCCTTCCAGTAGGCGCGCGCACCGCTGGGAGCTGGGACCAAACGCTGAAGGTTTCGGTGGGGATCGCTCGAAGCAAAATAGTTTCGGCATCTGTGGGCGCGCTTCCGGCCCCTGGGCCCACGCAGATCGATCCGGAATGCAGCAGCAAGGATGTGCGCCAGGAGGGATCAGGGGGGGTGGTCGGATGTCAACGACAAAGACGGCCACGAGGACGACGAAGGTGGCGACGACGGCGACCGCGTTGGCGATGATGATGACGACGACCACGACGACGGCGAAGGCAGCGACGAGGACGACGACGACGTTGGCGGCGGCGGCGTCGATGTCGACGTTGACGTCGACGGCTGCGACGACGACGATGGCGAATAATGTCAACGATGATGACGATGACGACGATGGCGACGACGACGACGACGCCGACAGAGTCGGTGGCGCTGACGATGATGGCGGCGACATTGTCAACGGCGTTGGCGACGGCGTTGGCGACGACGACGACGACGGCGCAAGCAGCGACGACGACGACAGCGACGCCGGCGAAGGCAGCGACGACGACGATGGCCGATGTCGTCGACGGCTGCAACGACGACGAGGGCGATAGTGACGACGATGACGATGACGACGACGACGACGATGACGATGATGACGACGACGACGACGGCGACGGCGACGACGCCGACAGAGTCGGCGGCGGCGACGATGACGGTGGCGACAGTGTCAACGACGCCGGCGACGACGTCGACGACGATGGCGACGGCGTCAACGACGGCAACGACGATGACCACGGTGACGTCGGTGTTGCCCTTGCACTGAGCTGTCTTATCGGTTTGGGCCTGGCTGTTCGGGGCCAGTGCACTTCAGTTTGGGCGACCGCGAGACGTGCCATGCCAGCCGCTGGATGCCCCCTGCTAGCCGTTTGTAAGTACTCCAGATTTCGTAATAAAGGGAGGGGGGTCTCATTTCGGGGGGGGTCTCTTCCAGGCTATCTTGGAGGGCCTGGGGTCTCTGGGGACGATGTTTTGGAGGGCTCTCCCACGGGGGGGGGGGGTCTGAAACTTCTCGTCTGGGAGGGTTGAGACCCCCTCCCTTTTATTACGAAGTCTGGAGTATGTTTGGTGCTCGCGGGCGAATTCAGTTTGGACGACGACGATGCACCAGGCAAATCAGCAGGGGAAGAAACACACAGACGCAATTCATCGTCGACTCCCCAGAAAATATGGGAGAATCTGGGGAGTGGGGGGGAAGACGAAAATAAAAAAATATGGGAAACTATAGGGAATCCTGTTATCTGTGTGTATTTATTTGTGTGCCCCAGGGCCCCTTCAAGTATGTTTGGTGCCTGTGGGCCAAGTCAGGGTGGACGACGACGATGCCCCAGGTAAACTGCTGGTGGAGATGCGCACGCCGCAAGAATTCCGTCACTTTGCAGAGGGACCCCCCCCACCTCGCCCCCATGCTCCACCACGCAGCCCGTTATACTCTCAGGAGTGAGAGAAACACACAGGCACAATGAATCGGCGATCCCCCAGAACATATAGGAACATATGGGAAGTGGGGGGAAGCCAGAAACCCAGAACATGTGGGAAAATATGGGTAATCCTTTTATTTGTGTCTATTTCCTTGTGTGTCCCAGGGCCCCTTCGTCTACTCCCACATACAGTCAACCATGATAGCAAGGATGGGGCACTCTGGCAAGGTACCCTTAGCGTCCTTGCCCCTTCGGCCCATCCCTTGAGACTTTCGCTGGACAGCGACGTGGAAGACATGCCAGCATGGCGTTCCAAGGCCTTTTTGCATCCTTACCGCGTATGCGTATCATCCTGGCTGACTGTATCCGACGCGCCCTCTTCTATCTCTGGTTAATTCAAGCTTCGCGTGGCCCGCTTAGCTTCGAACGGAAGAGGTGCGCTCTCGACCCGCGGATCAAAAACTGTTTTCGACGCGCGGAAATACACATACGCGACGCCGGGCGAGAGGTCTCGTCTGGAGCTCCCGCCTCCCGCCACTCTGCCTCGTTCTCCTGGCGCCCACAGCGGGCCCAGCGCACCCGTCGTGGCTTCTCACGTCTCGCCCTGGCCTCGGAACGCCCTCCCCCAACCTCCGCCCCCTCCTCCTTCCTTCCTTCCCTCTCCTTCCTTCCTTCCTCCCTCCTCCTCCTCCTCCTGTTCCTCCTCCTCCTTCCTCTCCTCCTCCTCCTCCTCCTTCCTCCCTCCTCCTCCTTCCTTCCTCCTCTTCCTCCCTTCCTGTTCCTCCTTCCTCCTCCTCCTTCCTTCCTCCTCCTCCTCCTCCTCCTCCCTCCTGTTCACCTTTTCTCCTCCTCCCTCCTCCTTCCTGCCTTCCTTCCTCCTCCTCCTCCTCTTCCCTCCCCCCCGACTTGTCCGCGCCAGGGTTGGCGAGCCCGCGTACTGGGAGAGGCGGTACACCACCCGGGACAAGGGGGACAGCCAGGCGAGCTCCCCTGCAAGCTGTGGGCGGGGAGGAGGAGGAGGAGCCGGAGCGGGGCCTCCTGCGAAGCGCGCGCCTGCGTGCGTGCGTGCGTGCGTGCGTGCGTGCGTGCGTGCGTGCGTGCGTGCGTGCGTGCGTGTGTGTGTGTGTGTGTGTGCTCCGGGTCCGCCCGTCTCTGGGGCTTTGCCTCCCCATCGGCCGCGCCCTGAGGCACCGCCGCTTTCTCCTCCCCCCCCTCCTCCTAACTCAAGCTTCGCGCGGCCCGCTTAGCTTCGACTGGAAGAGGCGACCCGCGGATCAAACAACTGTGTGTGTGCGCGTGCGTGCGTGCGTGCGTGTGTGTGTGTGTGTGGTGTGCGGATTGGGCGGGGGGGCTTGATGGCTTTGGGTGGAGAGACTGAGGGAGCGCATTGCCACCCCCGCTTTCCCAGCAGGCCGATGCCATCCGAAGGACGCTTGGCGCCTTCCGCTGATCCTCCTGGGCGGAATCCGACGAACACATCTATACACTTCCACCGTGCCAGGCCAGTGCCATCCTGGGCCCCATGATGGTGTACTTCCCTGAGCGGGGCCGCTTGGCTCTTATGCTCAGCTCATCCGCAGGGGCTTCGCCTCCTGCCGCCGGCCCCCTCTCTCGGAGAATGGGAGATGCAAAAGCTAAATCTTGAGGTCTGGGCGCCGCCGTGAAGCAGTGTCGGAACCTGTTTGTTTTTCGACCCTGACCCTACGGATCTGCGTCATGAGTGCCACCGAATTTCAGAAATGTGGCAAGCCCCTTGTGTTTTTGGACCCTGACCCTGCGGATCAGCGTGAGGGGTGCCGCCGAATGTCAGACATGTGGCAAATCCCCTGTGTTTTTGGACCCTGACCCTGCCGATCTGCGTGAGGGGTGCCGCCGAATGTCCGGCTGGATATCCGGGTGCTGATGATGCTGTGGATGAGCCCAAGACGAATGCGTCTGCCCCCGTCCAGACCGTTCGCTTCTATGAGCTGGTTGGCGAGATCGTGCGCTTGCCTCTGCCTCTTCTGAGGCCCTTTCAGGGTGAAGATGCGGCCCTTGCCGTCGCGGCGGTCCCTGGTCGTAGTTGTGCAACCAGTTTTTCGCAATATGAGCTGCCTGTCCTCGCTGGTCAGAGCTCCACCGCTGCACGTCTAAAATTGGATGTGGTAATGTGCCTCCACATTGTCGCGGGGCGGCAGGTGTTTCGGGGGAGTCGCCATCTGCTTGAGCCCGAATGGCTATCGGAGGAGGCGTCACCGTGCGTTTGCCCCCCATGCTCGCATGTTTCCTCCGCCTCCCTTCACCCTGATTGCTTTTGGCCTTCCCCTTTCATCCCCCCCATCCCCCCCCCTCCCCGGAGGGGGGCGGAGTGGCGAACAGAGAAGGCGGGAGAGGAAAGGGAAGCGGAGTGGCGAGCCATTTCCCAGACGCGCGGGCATGGGTGAGGCGAAGGAGGGGGATGAGGAGCAGGAGGAGGTGTCGGAGTGGCGAGCCAACTCCCAAACGCATGGAGCACGGATGAGGCGGAGGCAGATGAGGACGAGGTGGCGGAGTGGCGAGCCAACTCCCAAACAGACGAGCACGGATGATGCGGAGGAGGATTGGGGACGAGGAGGAGGAGGAGGAGGAGGCGGAGGCCGTGGAGGCGAGGCCATGTCTTGCGTGCTGCAGCGGGCGAGGTGCAACTGCGCGCCTGGAAGCTGCGGCAAGCTCGGGTTGACCCCCATCGCGATATCGGGCAACGGCGATGGCTCTCGCCACATCGCGCGTGGCGCTGCAACAGTTTCCAAGGGTGCATGGGGCCCAGGGGCTTCGTGGGCCCCAGAAACGGCAGGGGTGTTTTTCACCGTTTCCAAGAAAATGTCCCTTGAACATGGAAGCGGCAACAAAAACGGCGAGCGGAAACGGCAAGAAAACGGCTCTAGGATTGGAACCGGAGCCGGAACCGGCCAGGTCAAACAACGGCGACGGAACCGGTAAAACAACGGCGTCGGAACCAGCAAAAAACAGCAAAACGGAACAGGTAAAAAAACGGCCCTGTCGTTTCCAGGGCCCACTAAGCCCAGGGGCCACCCGGGCCCGATATGGGCGGGACCCACACAACGCAATACATTTTCTCCCCAGGTAACATGGGACATCCGCAAACGGATTGAACCATTTTCCCCGCGCGATGCCCGCGAGGAGCTGATACCAATGTATACATGTTCGTACTCAGCTTCCCTATTGCAGTCACCATCTTAGTGGATGATTGGGATGATGCGATGTGACTGATGTTGTGCGCCTGTACTGCTAAGTAACCACAGTGGACATCATGAACCACGGGGCCCGCCAGCCATTCAGGCTCCAATTCGCCATCGAACCGCGCGAGGACGTCCAAGACCTGCCTTCTGCATGACCTGGCATTCCCAATGTTGGCCGTCCGAGTGTTGCCCGATGGCCCCTGCAAACTTGTGTGTTTACGTTCGGCGGAAAAGCAACTTAGAACGTCGCCCACGGCTTCGAGGTTACGAGGGATGTGGTGCGTGTAGCGCTGCTTGGGTTTGACCGGCTCTACCCCGTACAGTTGCAAGGTGAGCTTGTGGTGGTCAGTCAGGGTGGTTTCAACTTCCCTGATGCGTTGGAGGGCCGAGTCGGGGGTGGGCAGCATGTCCAGCACTTTGGATATCAGCCTCAAGCAGCGGGTCTTCTCCATCAAAACTGCATTCGGAACTGCCACGAGTTCGGCGAACTTGACTAACGCTTGCAGGGCGAAGATCGTTTCGCCGGCCCATGCCTTGAGACACCCTCCATCAGGATAAACGCGATCCTGAATCAAACGTCGGGCAGGTTTCCATCGGGCCACTGGGTCGATTGTTGAAATATGTCCAGAGACTCCAAATCTACACAGTGGGGCTCACATTCAAGCTTCACGCAGGCAGCGTTGACCTCCCATTGGCATGCCCCCATCCCCAATGCCACCAAACAACGCATCCAATCCCAGTAGGCGTGCTTCACCGGGTTCAGGTGCCGCCTGAGAAGAGCGTCGTGCAACTTGGATTGGGGTTGATAGGCCACGCCACTGGCTGTTCCCTTTTCTTTGAAGTGCAACATGGACTGGGGTTGATAGGCCACGCCGCTGGCTGTTCCCTTTTCTTTGAATCGCCCCGGGGCCAACAGCGGGCAACTGCGTTCGAGGTCGTCAACCATGCGCGCGACAGTCTCAGGCGTGTGCAGATCGACATCGCGTGGAAAAGCGTCCTGGAGACGCTTGGCGTAAGCAGAACCTGCTTGTGTGCATCCGGGCGTCCCGGAAGCGCCCTTCACCGACCAATGCTTGTCGTGCGTTTCTTCATCTTGTATCACACAACAGAACCTCCCAGTGGAATATGTGCGCCCGCCCTGCGCGTTGGGCAGTTGGATCCCAGCGGTGAGATTGCAATCGTTTGAATTGGAAAACGTATGTTTGAGAAGTTGCTTCACGAGACCTGTAAGGCCAGCCTCGACTTTTTCTTGGAGTTCAAAGGGGAAGAAACATAATGCCCGCCAGCCCCTTATCGCGCGGCCTCAGCCACCGCGGGAGCTCCCTGACAGTCCTATCCGCCGCCCCGGGAGCGAGGCTCTCCCGCGCGGAAACGCGCATCTTCAAGCCGCCGCGGGCTCCGCGGGGTCGTCGCGTGGAGTCTCTTCGGGGGCTTCGCGCTGCCAGCGCGTGGCGTGTTTTCTCTTGGGGAGCTGTCGGGTTTCGCGGTGGCGCTTATATGCACAGCTTGCAGCTTCATGCTGCGATCGTGATGCAGCGGGTTGGCAACCTGCACCTTATCCGTGTAAATAATGACGGAGAATGTGCCGTTGCAGCACGTCTCGAACAATTCAGCAAAACGCTCTTTTGAACACAACACATAAACCAATCCCAGTGGATTGCAACATAAAGCTGGACGTCGTTTGCCGCTGGCATGATCGATCTTTATTGTTTGCATCAGTTCGCCGAAGGTGGTGTTTACATTCAGCTCTTGATTCAACACCCTGCGCATGTCTGATTCGAACCCAGCGGCCCCGAACTCTTTAGCAATCTCTCTGCAGTTTTGTCAACGACAACCAAGGTGCGGACTGGAGGATAATCAACCTACTTATTTGTTGTTCTCCTTCTTTTTTCAATTTTCATCTAAACAATGCATCGTCGACTTCAGTTTTTTTTGTTGCATCGGCCACCGCAGAAGCCATGGGCCCTCGAGTGTAAGTACATCGGGGGGGGCACTACAGCATATCGGAATGCGAGTGCGCGAGGGCGCGCGGTGGCGAGCCAACCGCTTGACGCACGAAATTGGCGGGCGGAAGGAGGGGCGACGAAGCGGAGGAGGAACGAGGGTACAGTCGGGGCCTTGACCTGAGGAACTCTAAATAGGGAACGAGGCCTCTTTTTTTCCATAAGTTTAACTTTGACTTCCCATCGAAACTTTGAAGAAAACCTGGGGCGAACTGTGAAACAATGAAGGAACACGGAGCCCCTCCCCAACGAAAAGGGTTCCTTCTTCAAGACCCCGACTGGAGGAGGACGGGGCCGTGCGGGGATCGCGCCGGGCCACAACGGGGAGGCTCGGCGGGCCCCGCCCCTATGCGGCGCAGCCCGTCGCGATTTTTCCTTTTACCTCGCGCCCCCGCGGGAGGGTCCGCGCGCGGCTGTGGCGGGCGGCGGCGCGCCCATTTCCCGTCGCGCCCCTCGCGCGGGCCGCGCCCATTTCGGCGGGCTCCGCCTACGGTTTCCCCAGGAGCCTGCGTAACCAGCTTTGACTTAACTTTGATATGCGAAATGGTGTATAACTGAATTACACATGGCACGCACCTGGTTTAGCACTGTTAACACTTGGGTAGCATTTCGATTGCGCCGACTTCAAGATAACTCGGTGACAGCTGATTGCAACGGAACATATAAGCGGCTAGGTGGCCCCGCTCAGGCAGGTATAGACCCTTCTGGCCTCGGCCGGGAGGGCATATATACCATGCCTGGGCCAGGATGGCCCGGCCTGGCAAGGTGGTGGTGTATAGATGCCGTCTGCAAGCCCATCTTGCCAGGTGAGGTGCTTGACTGTTCTCCTCGGCGTCGTCGGTGCTGTTGTCGTCCTTCTTCTTGTGCGCCATTTCCCCGAAGCCTCGCCGAGAACACCTGTGGTGACAGACGACGCTTGAAGTAGATTGCGAAGCAAACGCGGAGGGCTGATCCTGGCCTCCCAGAGCTCTTATCAGGCCCCCTGAACGCTCTGGAACCCTCGAAGCCCCTCCAAGGGGCACGCGCTACCTCACCCCATTCTTCCCCCTCCCCTTTCTCCCCCCTCTCCCCATTTCTGGCGATCGTGCGCCCCACTGTGCGACCCTCTTAAGTCAGGCCTCTTGCCCGAGCAGTGCGTGGCCTGGGTCACCCGCGGAAGCGCGGAGATAATAGCGCCGCGCGCGTCGCGGTCTGCTCCAGAAGTGGCCCGAGCACGCGAGAGCGCGAGGAGTTCCCCGCGGTTCGTGCCTCGCGGGGCGCGATGCGCGGCATGCTTTGTCCGCACCGCGGCTGCCTCGGGCGAGCCGGTCCGTTCCGCTCCTCCTCCTCTCCGGTGTTGCTAGAAGGCCCATGGAGGCCTCCCGAGCACCCTTTGCGAGGCCCAGGGGACCCCAGGGGGCTCCGAGTCTGGAGCGAGGGGCGGGGGGGCACCTGTTGCTTGGCAGCGTGCGGACGCGCGCGTGTGTTTCCCTGGCATCGCTCGGACGTGTGCACTGTTCCTCGGTGGGGACCATCGAGGAGCATCCTTCATCATTTGGCGGCAAAAAACCACGCACGAAACCAAAAAACGCACAGGGAATGGACGTCCGAGCGATGGCGAGGTTCTCGGCGAGGGCCAGCGAGGGGCCTCCTGGATCACGTCACGCAACGCGCAACAACCAACGCACGACACCGACCGATGCGCGGGGGATGATGGGCGTCCGAGCGACGGAAGGCGTGGGCCGGGGGCGCATTTAGCACCCCCCAGCCTCCCTCCCTCCCTTGCTCCCTCCCTCCCTCCTCCCTCCTCCCTCCTCCTCCTCCTCTTCCTCCTCCTAATCCCTCCTCCTAATCCCTCCTCCTCCTCCTCCTCCTCCTCGTCCTCCTCCTCGTCCTCCTCCTCCTCCTCCTCCTGGCAGCGCTGGTGGCACGGGCGTGGCCCAGCCGCGGCTTTCTGGCCTCGCGGGGGCGGGGCCCCCCGCGCCGGCCGAGGATGACGTGGATGACCGCGGCGCTGGCTGGCTGTGCCAGGACGGGGGGGGTGGGCGCTCGCCGTCGTCGCCGTCGCAGTCGCACGTCGTACGCCTCCCCGCCGCCCTCGTCGCCGCCGCCGCCAGCGCCGTCGTCCTCGTCGCCGTGGTCATCGCGGGCGCCGCTGCCGCCGCCGCCGTCGTTGACGTCGTCGTCGTCGTCGTCGGCGGCGGCGGCGGCGTCATCGGCCTCCTCGTCGTCCCTGTCACTGGCGTCGTCGTCGCCGTCGTTGTTATCGTCGTCGTCTTCGGCGTCGCCGTTGCCGCCGTCGACGGCCGCCGGTGGGGCGGCCCGCTCGGGCCTGTCGCCGCTGTCGTTGGGGGGGGCCAGGGGCGGGTCGGGGCGAGGGGGGAGGAGGAGGAGGGAGGAGAGGAGAGGAGGAGGAGGAGGAGGAGGAGGAGGAGAGGAGGAGGAGTAGGAGAAGGAGGAGGAGGAGGAGGAGAGGAGAGGAGGCGTGAGGCGGAGGGGAGGCGGAGGCGGAGGAGGAGGTAGGAGGAGGAGGAGGAGGATGGAGGAGGAGGAGTAGGAGGGTGAGGAGGGATGAGGAGGAGGAGGAGGAGGAGGAGGAGATGAGGAGGAGGAGAGGAGGAGGAGGAGGAGAGGATGTGATGAGCGGAGGAGGAGGAGGAGGAGGAGGAGGAGGAGTAGGAGGAGGATGAGGAGGAGGGAGGAGAGGAAGGAGGATGAGGAGGAGGAGGAGGAGAGGAGGAGGAGGCGGAGGAGGAGGGGAGGAGAGGAGGAAGAGGAGGAGAGAAGGAGGAGGGGAGGAGAGAGGAGAGGAGGATGGGAGTAGGAGGAGGAGGAGGAGGAGGAGGAGAGGAGGAGGAGAAGGAGAGGAGAGGATGAGGATGGAGGAGGAGGAGGAGGAGGAGGAGGAGGAGGAAGAGGAGGAGAGGGGAGAGGGAGGAAGGGGAGGAGGAGGAGGAGGGAAGGAGGGAGGAGGAGGAAGGAGGAGAGGAGGAGGAGGATGAGGATGGGAGGAGGAGGAGAGGAGGAGGAGGAGAGGAGGAGGAAGGATGAGGAGGGAGGAGGAGGGGGGAGGGGGAGTAGGGAGGAGGAGGAGGAGGAGGAGGAGGTGAGTAGGAAGAGGAGGGATGAGGAGGAGGAGGAGGATGAGGAGGAGGAGGAGGAGGAGGAGGAGGAGGAGGATGAGGGGCAGAGGAGGAATGTGAGGGGGAAGGTTGAGGGGAGGAATGAGTGAGGGAGGAGGGAGGAGTGAGGAGGAGGAGGAGGAGGAGGAGGAGAAGCGGCAGCGTTCGACGAGCCCCAATGTCATCAGGAGCACAGGAACACAGGAGGAGGAGGGGTGTCTGCCACGCTCCCAGGTATCGGGGTCTAGAGGCCCCGGTAGGCGCACCTCCTCCTTCCCAGGAGCGACCCTGGCTTTGTGAAACGTGCGTTCGTTCGTGAGGGGGGGTTGGGGGGCGCACTCCCCCGATTACAGTGCGTGGCCTGCTGGACACGCGTCTCGTGTGCAGAGGGGGAGGAGGAGGAACGGGAGCAGGAGGAGGAGGGGGAGGAGTTTCGGATGAGGGGGGTGTAGGCGTGTCTTCCCTATCTCACGCTGGTCCTTCCGATCCCTCCTTTTCCTGCCTGCCCCACTGTGCGTCTTCGCTTCGATCCCCCACCATCGAACCTACCCAACTGCCAGCTGCAGCGACGCCCTTCTCAAGCGCGACACCTGCACGGAGAGTCGCCGTTCTAGAACAGCCCTTCGAGCCCCGCGTCGGGATTGCTTGGCGCCACCGTTCGCTCTTCGCGGCTGCAGCGGCGACAGGCACAGACCCGTGGAGCGCCTCGGGTTACTTGCGATGAGGATGTGGCGGGGTGGAGGGGATAGGGGGTCGGGATGGGCTGAGCAGGAGGAGGAGGAGGAGGAGGAGGAGGAGGAGGAGGAGGAGAGGGAGGGGGAGGAGGAGGAGGAGTGGGGAGGAGGGTGGAAGAAGGACGGGCGAGGAGGAGGAATAGGGGGGGAGCAGGAAAAGGGCGTCCATGCCAGGACCTGCGCCTCGCCCAGCGGCGCCAACGCCGTGGCGTCGCAAAGAGCGGCGAGAGCGAGCGAATGAATTACATGGCGGTCGGCCCAGTTCAAGAGTTCTTTACCAATCGGTCCAAGCGGCAACCTTCGCGTTCTACGAAGTTAAGGTAACATTGGTCTTGAGGAAGAGCCTGTCAGGCATGGGGCCCATGTTTTTTCGGTGCTGGGCGTTATTGCCATGTGTGTTGCTTCCCGGGTCCAATGTTGTCCCTGGCATGGCACGTTCGTGGTACCTTGCATCCTTATTCTCAGGACAGGCTTTGCATGTTTTGCGACGTAACAGAGCATGGCTGTCTGCGTGAGCATTCGCGCGGTAGTCGCCCGCGCCTGGTCGCGCGTGAACGCCGCCAGGGGTGACGGAAGGGAAGCTAAGGGCGGATGAAACCAGAGGCGGCGATGCCGATGTGGTCGCCAGGGAGTGCGACAGGGGCGAAAAGCGCGGGGGAAAGCATTCACCGCGTACGCTTTCGAGCGTCGTCCAATAGCTGCACGGTCGGAACCCCAGGATCGCAAATGGGCCGAGAGATCACACTCTTCTGTAGCGAACGACATCTCGGCTAGTATGCAGTATGCGTGTCCCTTTCGTACATAGGCGAGAATCAGTCGGCGCCCACGAGCGAGGTGCGTTTGCGGTAAGCATCTTGCTCAAGTAGGCCCGTTTGGCATTCGTGCTAGCCTTGCGCCCAAGTCAGCCGGCAAGTGCGCGCTCCCACACGTGTGCGTCCGTTTGTTGGGGGACCCCGTGTTCCAGAGAATGCTCAGCACGTTCGACTCTGGACGAGGAGGCAGATGCATGCAGACGGCCGAGGCAGCTCTCACAGCGCGATGTTCGCACTTGGCGCCCTTTTTCCAGAGCATTACCAGCCTCGAACGTATCCCTATGCCTAAGATTGACACGCCAAAAACCGATGGTAATCTTAGGGATTCGCCTTCAAAACATAAGGAAATCCCTAAGACTGGCATCGTGATGAGGAGGTGCCCAGCATAGGGATAGGGATATGTTCCAGGCTGGTAAGAGCAGGCCGGCGGGTGTGGTCCTTGCCGGGGCTCGCCCTCCTTCCGCCGATCGCGGCGCGCGGCGCGCCCCCAGTACGCCGGGCCCCTGCAGCAGACCCTGGTCTCCGTGACCCGGGAGGACCCGCAGTCCAGGCTGGGAGGCACGCGCGTGCCCCTCCCCCGGCTCGGAGCCGACCTTGCCCGCGCCTCGGGAGGCGGGTGGGCGTGGGCACGCTCGGGCCCCCCTCAGGCCCAGAGGTGTCCTCGCCCACGGCCGCCCTGGGGGTTTCCCGGGAGGCGTCGGCTCCCCCGGCGGCGGAGGTGCACGAGTTTTCGGCCTCGCGCGGCGCTGCCGGCGCGCTTGCGTGCTTTGCTGGCGGCGGCGGCGGCGGGTGCTTCTCTGCGGAGCGTCTTGGGGCCATCCTGGAGTGTCACGGAGCCACCGTGGGCCAACGTGGAGGCCTCGTGGGACTCTCGTGGGACCTCGCGGAGATCATCGGAGGAAGTGGCCACGTTCCGGGAATGCAGGGGTCTGACAGGCGGTGACGCTGCATTTTTGGCGGCCAGCAGTTCGTGCCGCAGGCCAGCGGGAAATTTTCGGAAGGGTTCATTCATAGACTAGACAGATCTGGCACGCTGCGCAGCTCTGTGGAGCACAGGTAAACGGGCAAGCGGCGCAAAGTTTGCAAAGTCTGGAGGAACAATAAGCATCCTTGTGGAGCGTCCATGTCCCCAGGCCCATGGGCACCCCGCCAAACCACCCAACCCGAAGACCACAATTTGCCTTCCATTCCCAGTGTAGGGGGGGCGTCGGGCAACATTGAAAGAACACATGTGGAACCCGTACCCCCTTCAACCTAAAATTTGGATCTGCGGGATAGGTTGGGGCGGTCTGGTAGGTAGCCGCACACTCCCCCACCCCGCCCCGCAACCCACTACATCCCCGTGGTTCCAGGGCCTGTTCTGTGAGCTTTTGAGGGCTGCTTCGATTTTCAGAGGCCTCCACCGGAGCTCAGGAGGTCGCGGGGACGCCCCATGCTGGCTCAGTGCTCCAAGAGATGCCACGAGTTGGGCCAATGTAGGTAAACAACAAAGTTGTTCTACGTCTGGTGTGGATCTCATGCCGTTTTCGTTCTGAGATGGAACATTCCAGTGGGCTCATTCGTTGCCCCACTCAGCCCGAAGAGGGCCCCAAGACGGCCTCAGAACGCATCAGTTAGTAGGACTCTCAAGGCCCAAGGGAGTTCCCAGAATGGACCCGAAGTCCCTAGATGGCTCAAGAGAACGCCTAGACGGCCCAGAGGGCTCCCACAGCCCTAGGGTGGCCCCGAGAAGCCCATAAGGGGTCCCAAGAGAGCTTAACACAATCCCGAGATAGACCATAGACACCAAGGACAAGAGATGCCCAGGATGAGCAGAAGTATTTGGACACACATTTAGGAGGGGATGACGACGACGATTATGGTGGCACCTTCACGCCCATCCCCTTCACGTCATAGTAATTTGTTGTTGTTTGTCCCGCTCACCACCTTCCTCACTGTTCCCCTCTTGGTCGAGGGGAAGGAGTGAAACTCAAGCGTGCTAACGTCTCGACTGTTGCATGCTATTCGCGCAGACATAAAGCGAGCATGACTCAATACACTTGCCCGCCTGCCCAACACCTTTCTCCGTGTGATGGCATAAACAGAGTTTATCCTCCACCTCCATGTATTATGCGCACTCTCCTCTGTCTTGCCACTCCCTTACTTGTGCTCGTCACTTACACTCGTCCGTTTCGTCATCTTCTGCCTTTTCACCCTACTCTTGCTCCCCTGGCAGCTCCCCCAGCGGCCCCTGGTCCCCTCACGGCCACAAGTCTAGCAAGCTTCCCGCCAAGAACCCCTCCTGAGACACTGACAGAGGCAACTGCGACCTGCTGCCAGCTCTTGCCATGGTCGAATCCAAGAGTGCGCGCGCGCGCGGAGCGCGCGTGGTTCCCTTCGGTTGATGCGGAGCACCTCTCATCGGAAATCCAGCCGCGTGGGCCCGGGCGTCGCATAACACCGGGGGGCCCCTCGCAGAACGCGCGCGTTTCCGGCGTGCTTTCGTTCGTTCGCCGCCACGTCTGGATGCGATGATGGGCTTGTTTTCCACCACCACCACCATTAGTTGGAGGGGTCCTCCTCCTCCTCCTCCTCCTCCTCCTCCTCCTCCTCCTCCTCCTCCTCTCCTTCCTCCTCCTCCTCCTCCTCCTCCTCCTCCTCCTCCCTCCTCCTACTCCTCCTCCCCCCTCATTCTCTCCTCCTTCCTACCTCCTCCCTCATCACCTCCATCCTCCTCCCTCTCTCCCCCCTCCAACTTATGGTGGTGGTGGTGGATGGGTGGTGGTGGTGGAAGATGGGCCCATCATGCGATTCGAAATCCTGGTCGAAGCGCACCCAGGAAGCGGGCCGAGCCCAGGGGAAACGCTGAGGCGTTGAGGCGGGGCGGGAGGCAGGCTGCTGGCCCCGGGGGCGAGGCATCGGCCCTCGATCGCCCGCGCGTCGCCGCGGGGGGCCAGCTGGCCCGCCTCGCCCCACGGCGCGGGGGGGGTCCCCCGTCGGGGGCCCACCGCCGACGCATCGGCGATGCCTCGCCGACTCCATGTCGGTGCCCTCTCCCTTGCCCGCGTTCCTCCGCCCGGACACTGCAGCGGGCAGCCACCATTCCACGCTGGTGCCTCAGGGGGCGCGGCGCCGCTCCTTCTGAGACTCGCGGATCCTCCTCCTCCCCCTCCTCCCCCTCCTCCTCCCCCTCCTCCTCCCCCTTCTTCCTCCCCCCCGCCTCCTCATCCTCCTCCTCCTCTTCTCATCCTCCTCCTCCTCCTCATCTCCCCCAATTACCTACCCCCCCCCCCCCCTCCCCTCCCTCCCCCCCTCTGCCCTCCTCCCCTCCTCCTCCACCTCACTCCTCCTCCTCCTCCTTTACGCCTCCGCCTCCCCCTCGTCCTCCTCCTCCTCCTCCTCCTCCCCACGCCGGGCCCTGTGAGCCCGCCCCTCCCCGATTGCCCCCCCCCCCGCCGCGGGCATCGCCGGGCGGGGCGCCGAGATGCCTGGGCGCGGCGCGTAAGGGGCAGGGCAGCGGGCCGGCCGCGCCGCGCTCCGCCTGCGGGCGCAGGACGGCCGCGCGGGGTCGTCGGGGGCGGCAAAGAGGGGGGTGATGACTAGGGGGGGGTGGATATCATGGCGGGGGCCATGATATTTCCCCAGATTCCGTGGCGCCTCTTCTTGTTTCATTACGTCCCTGGCCCCCCCGCTGGGTCGCGCACATGCCGCCGGTCATGATTTGCACCCCCCCCTCTTGGACACCCCCCTCTTGGCCGCTCCCGAGGTCGGAGGAAGGAGGAGCAGCGCCAAGGCCACCAGGGGGGCCAGCTCCGGCGCGGAGCTCTACGGGGCCTCCCCGAGCTGGAGTTCCAGGGCCGCCTCGAGAGAGAGGGGGGGGGGCCACACCGCCAGGGCGTTGGCGTTGGCGTTGGCGTTGGCGCTGGTGCCGCCCCGCTGGCGATCGCCTCTCCTCGCCCTGCTGGCGTTGGCGTCGCCTCTCCCTGCTCCCTGGGAGGGGGGGGGGGGCGCCGCTCTGTCGGTCCGCGGCGCGGCGCCCCCGGGAAGCAGAAGGCTGGCCGTCTTGGGGGGGGAACCCGAAAAACATGCGAAAACCCTACGGAAAACCCCCAAAACGGCCATTAACACGCAGGTGCGCACGCTACCCCCCAAGAGGCCGAAATCATCGATTTCCCTTGGGAAAACGTATATTTTTAGCATATGCGCTTTGTCGGCTTTCACGGCGTTGACGACGGCCCAAGAGGCCCCCAAGACCGCCCTAAGACAGCCCAAGAGGCTCCCAAGAGGCCCCCAGAACGGCCCAAGAGGGCGCCAAGACGGCCCAAGAGGCGCCCAAGACGGCCCTAGAGGGCGCCAAGACGGCCCCAAGAGGGGGACCACGAACGGACAAGTCTAGCCTTTCGCCCCAAGACGCTCCCAGGAGGCCCCCAGAGCCCCCCAAGAAGCCCCAAGAGGCGTCCCAAGAGGCCACCGGGAGGCGATTTTCTAAGGGGAAAGGTACATTTTTAGCATACAAGGCTTTTCTGCTTTCACTGCGTTGAAGACGCTCCAAGAGGCCCCCAAGACCGCCCCAGGAGGCCCCCAAAACGGCCCAAGCGGGCCCCAAGATGGCCCAAGAGGCGCCCAAGAAGGCCCAAGAGGGCCCCAAGACGGCCCCAAGAGGGGGACCACGTACCGACAAGTCGAGCCTTTCGCCCCAAGAAGCTCCCAGGAGGCCCCCAGAGCCCCCCAAGAAGCCCCAAGAGGCCCCCAAGAGGCCTCCAAAAGGGCCCGACAAGAGCCCCAATAGGACTTCCAAGAAGGCCCAGAGACGCCAAACAGAGAGCGATCGGTCACGCAAGAAGCTCTTCACACCAAGGCTCCCAAGAGCGAACGGTGACGTACACAAGCTGATAAGACCAAGGCTCCCAGCAGAGACCGGTGACGTAACAAGTTCCTGACACCAAGGCCCAGCCAAGGCTCAGGAACGGGCGGCAACGCAACCATCTCTGAACACCAAGGCTCCCACGAGCGAGGGGTGACGTAACAAGCTCTCAACGCCAAGGCTCCCGGTACGAACGGTGGTGTGAGTATTTTCGGTTTCTGTTGCTGCAGCGCTCTTTCCGTTTCTGTGCCGGGCCAGGTCTAATGGCTTTCCAGGGGCCCAAAACATTTCAAGTTGCGCCCCATACGGCCCAAGATTCGCCCAAGAGGCCGCAAAAGACGGCCCAAGCGGGGGGCTCCAAGATGGCCCAACGTGCCCCAAGAAAGCCCAGGACCGCCTAAGGGCGTTCCAAGATGGCTTCAGATGGCCTCGAGACGGCCCAGGAGGGCCCCAAGAGGGCCTAAGAGGGCTTCCATGAGGACCCCCAAAAAGGCCTGAGGAGGCCAACAACATTGATTGTCCTTAGATGTTTCTATAGTTTTTCGATTCTCGCCTTTTCGGGCCAAGAACCGCTCAGGACGGCCCAAGAGGCGCCAATGATCGTCCCAAGACGGCCCCAGGAGGGCTCCAAGGCAGCCCAAGAGGGCCCCAACACGGGCCAAGAGGACTCTTCCGTAGCCATTTTGGCCCAAGATGTTTGCTCAAGCCACTTGTTCTCAAGCGTTCTGGCATCGGCCATATTCATATAGTCAGTGTTGAGAGAAGGTATTGGGCATGCCCGTGTGGCCGTCTACAATGACCGCTAATGGTACGAATTTCCCAGAACAAGTTTTGCGCAAGATACTGGTGGACTTCCTTTGAATCGCGGGACCACTGATAGCAATGGTTTTGTATTTGAACAAAGCGGCCGTTGGTCGTACCACCCTCGTCCAAGTTGCTGCCGGGGCTGTAACTGCAGTCGTAAGTGTTGCCACGTTTGCCCTCCAATTTCCCGCCTGCCGGAACTGGGTGTCGATATGCTTGATTAGGCCGTCTCGCATGCAGTCAGTGTTTTTCTACGTGATCAGTTTCGTGGTCGGTGCATCTCACGCTTGCTATGCACTGCCAGTGTTCTTGGACCCACTCGCCAGAGACACGTTGGAACTCTTCTTTCCTGTTTCCCTATGTGTGATGTTGTATGCAACTTCAGTGACAGCTCGGTTTTTGCCGTTCGAGGTGTTCTCGTGTGCACTGGCAATTCTGGCCACGTTTACATTGTATGCAGAACATGCAGAGGGGCAAGACTTGATGGAGGCCATGCGCTCTCTTCTTCCAAATGCAGTCGTATTCTTGGTGCTCACCGCTACACTGACATTGAGGATCAGTTTGCTTAGCCATCGGCGACATCACGGGGGTTCGAATTCTCCCAGCCTCGATGGCGCCCCTGATGAGGTGCAGCCACATGCGCATGTGAGCTTCACTGGGATATTGCCGCCAACGTCTGGTGAAGTCCATCGAGACGGGGGGTTGGCGGCACTTGACTCGCCAGGTTGTCGAGATAACACCGTCGTGGATGTGGGTGATTCATCGTTTATACCAAACATAGGAACTACCAGCGATGTACATCCAGCCGATGATGGTCCATCCGGACTCGTCGAACCCTGCGAACATATATTAATCGGCACCGTAAGTGAGATGCTTGAGGAATTTTGTGATATTCCCAGTGTCCGGGAAGACCATGTGCAAGCAGAACAGTATCGCCGTGTTCACGCCTGGAGTTCTGAAGTATCTGGTAGACTTGACCACACGGAATCAGAATTGTCAGTCGAGCGTGACATGTGTGATGACGTTGTTAGTCAAGTTGATGTTACATCAGATGCAGGGTCTAAATCCACTTCGAGTTCCAATGCACCTACACTTCTCGGAGCCCTGAGTCTGGCTTTAGAACACCTGCTGCCAGCGAGTATCATTGGAGATTTGTGGTCCAGGGCAGGAAGTCGTACAAGCACTACTGCTGTCTGCGAGAAAACTCCTGATTCTGAAGTCTGGGCATCTGTGGCAAGTCTGCCACGACCAGAGCTTCACAGAGTATCAACGCCAGCTGGGAGAGACAGAACGCCTGAATTATACTTATCCGACTCGCCTGACCTATTCCTCGCAGAGTTGCAGGAAAACATTGGCCAGACGCGCCGATTCCAGATGCCACGGCCTCGTCAACATGCTCTTAGGTAATGAGGTCCAGACGTCGTCGGCTCGATCCGGTCTGGCGCTTCCGCTTCAGCGCCTGTTGCTTTTTTTTGTTGAAGTACCTCTGCGCGGGGTGCTCTGTGGCATCGGAAACCTGATGTGTACACGGGCATCCTCCGCCCCCGCTTCCAGGCAGACTGCGCGAGCCTCCGCGAAGCGGGGCCGCAGGAGCTTGGACCCTTCTCTTTATCTGTCGTCATCATATGGCTGTACGGTTGCAAGCAAAGGGCAGTCCATTACGACGCATCATACTCGGGGGTGGATAGACCTCCTACCCTGACACGTCGATTAAGGAATTGGCCGTTTTCGTTCGCGAAAGGGCGTCGCGGCCGTCATTTTTGTGGGTCCAGGTCCGTCGGTTTCGGTCCCAGGCCGTTTTCGCTGAGGGGAGGTTTACTAAAGGGAGGTTTGTCCACCGCCGAAATACACGGCATCAGTTGGTCGAAGCCCGCACCTGTCTTGTTGGTGACATTGACCAGTGCAGGGAGTTCCTTCCATTTTTTAACGCCCTGCTTGCATCGGGCCTGACTGCTTTGCAGCCTCGAGCGCTCTCAGTGAGCCCCAGCTCGGGAGGCAGCCTAGGTGGGGCAGCGAGTCGCAATGAGGTGTTATTGCCCTTCCGTTTGGGTTGTTGCCCGCGCTCCTCTCAGCAACATGTGGTTCCAATTTTGGGACCCATCGTAAACAAGAGCAAGAGTTGGGGATTGAGCGTCCACAACGCCCCTATCCACGCCCTTCTGCAGCGGTGCACAGCAGCCGCTCCGGTCCGAAGCCTCTCGCCGCTGCCCGCAGCGCGATGTCTGGCCTCTGGGACTCCCGAGCCCTGGAGGCCTGACCCCTCTTGTTCGCTGGGGATGGCGATGGAGGGTGAGGGGGTGAAGGTCCATGCCGGGAGGGGGGGGTGGATTGCAAAAAACAAAAAACAAAAAAAAAGGTTTTTTTTTTTATTGGGGGTTGTTTTTTTGTTTTGCAATCCTTGTTTTTTTTTTTTTGTTGCGAACCAAGGCTGCGCACAGCTCCACAACATGCCATCGCTTCTCCACCGGCCTGCTCCAGTGTGTGTGTGTGTGTGTGTGTGTGCGTGTGTGTGTGTGTGTGTGTGTGTCACACCCACCAAACCACCCCAACCCAACCCGAAGACCCAAATTTATCCTCGATTTCCAGTGGGGGGGGGTCGGGGAACGTTGAAAAAACACATGGAACCCGTACCCCCCCCAACCCGAAATTCGGGTCAAATTCAGGTCTTCGGGTTGGGTTGGGGTGGTCTGGTAGGTAGTCAGTGTGTGGTGGGGGGGGGTGCACGCCAGTTCGGCCATCGCTGCCCATGCGTGCAGTGACAGTTTCCGCGAACTGCCAGGCGTGCAGTCCTTCCGCAACTCCTCCTCATCCGTCGCCCTTCTTCATTCCAACCTCTCTCGTACGATGCCGTTCGCGCGCCGCACGTCTTCGCAGACGGGACCGGACGCG